CATCATAAAAGTTCTATCTTCCCCCTTATCTAACCGTCTATTCTGAATGGAGGGTTAAGATTGCGGCAATCACAATGTCACGTCTCTATACTATTTTTTTTTTTATAAAATATTTTGGCACCAAATTTTGGACCTCCATTCCTGTATTAAAATTACCCTAGCAAAAAATATATAAAAAAAATATTTCCAATAAAATAAAATTACCAAAATACCCTTGAAAGTTTCAAGGGGTATTTTGGTTATTATGTTTTATCAAAATTTATTTTTAATATTTTTTATAGGTGCAGCCCAAGGAGAATATGACATGTACCAAATTTCATATTCATACAATTTGTATAAAAAACTAAAAATAATATACTTTGAGACGTCGGTTCTAAGATCAAACGGTGAGTGGCTCTCGTCATCAAAATTGGACGGCTGGATGGAAGGGGAAGGATAGAACTTCTATGTTGTAGAGGAAGAGGAAGCATAGAAACCTTTCTCATATATGAAGAAGGGAACTTGTTAGGAAAAGGCTAAGGTGAAAAGGCCAAAGGAAGAGCTAAGGGTCCAAAGTCAAGGAAAAGCTAACAAAGAAACTACAAACAAAAGAGCTCATAAGAAAATAGGGCATAAAAAACTATAAAAACTAAAGAATCAAAGAAGTTACATATAAAAGTGCTTATAAAATACCTAAGAAACAAAACTAATAAAAATGATAAAAAGAGAGAAGTAGAGAGAGAGAAACAAAGAGAAAGAGCAAAGAGCAAAGAAGACTATAGACAAAAAAGCAAAGTGGGAGGGAGAAGGAGAAAGAAAATAAAGGAATAAACCAGATAACATGAGGTTTTTGTGAGACACTAAGGGAGAAAAGGGAAGAGAGAGAAAAAAAAAAAAAACTAAGAGAGGAAAAGGCAATAAAGCTAGAGGTACGACATAAATGAAGTAAAATGGGAGAAAAATGAACTCATATCTGATCAGATTTAACGGAAAAAGCCTATATATAGGGAAATAACTTCAAATCTAAGGCAAAAAAACCACAACTCTATGGCAGTAGCCTGAGATCTATTTGAGGAAAGCAACATGCCAGAAAAATGGTCATCAAAAAGCAGAAAAAAGTAGAAGGCAAATAGCTGCTTGTTGGAGAAGATCGCCAGAGATGGTCTACTTTGGAAAATATGATGGTCGCTGCTAGGAGATGGTTGTCCAAAAAGGTCATTATCTACAAAGAGTATGCTTGTATGTTAGTAACTTCTCTCCTCATTTGCCATACTCTATACCACCTATTTTATTCATATGGTATATATTTCAATATTAGCTTAAAAGATAGGTCACTTTTGGTATTATTTCAAAGATGTGTGAAATTTATACCGTCCAACTAAAATGAATGATGTAGAATGCTGCAATTTTACTTCAACAACCTTATATAAATGGTACCTTGATGTAAATAGATAACTATGCCTCGAAGGGCAAGATCAAGGTGTTCAAGAATCCAGAATCCAAAATCCAAAATTTTCTTGAAAATAATGATACGGTAATATCTAGATAGATCCCAAAATTTTAAAGAAAAAAAACTCCACGTAGTTATTTTGGTTGTATAGTATATTTCAACACGAGCACGCTATACTTGCTTAATAATTCTCAATCTGAAAATGAAATTGTTTGAAGAGATAAACCACTAGCAAATCACATGCAGCTCTGGCTTTATTGAATATGATGATATCCAAAATCACCCCCATGAGGAA